TGGTTGAGAGTCCGCCTGCCGATGCAGGGGACACGGGTTCGTGCCCCGGTCCGGGAAGATCCCACATGCCGCGGAGCAGCTGGGCCCGTGAGCCAATGCCGCTGAGCCTGCGCGCCCGGAGCCTGTGCTCCGCAACGGGAGAGGCCACAACAGTGAGAGGCCCGCGTACCGCAAAAAAAAAAAAAAAAATGTAATGGATTGGTAGAAATTACTCCTCCCCACTTCTGTTGGTCTGGTAAAGACACTATTTCAGGCATAATGAGAGGAGAATCAGAGTGAAAAAGAACATGGCATATTTGAGACAATAAATGGCATTTACTGTTGCTGGGGCATAGAATTTGAGGTGGGAAGTGACAACATATAAGCTAGAGAAGCCAAGAAACACAGAAGAACCCCTATCAGAATGTCCTACACTACAGAATACATTTATGGAAAATAAATTAAATGGAGCATGCAAAAGTGCTCAGTGGATAGAAGTAATAAATTAATGTAGAATTTAAATGTATTAAAACTCTCAGCATAATTTTCCTCTACAATGCCAAAAATGCATCATATTCTTCATTTACCCTGTTCACTTATATTGTTCATCATTTATTCAGTAATGGAGCAAAATTATTAAACTAAAGAATAAATTGAGAGGGGGCTTCCCTGGTTGCACAGTGGTTGAGAGTCCGCCTGCCGATGCAGGGGATGCGGGTTCGTGCCCCGGTCCGGGAAAATCCCACATGCCGCAGAGCGGCTGGGCCCGTGAGCCATGGCCTCTGAGCCTGTGCGTCCGGAGCCTGTGCTCCGCAACGGGAGAGGCCACAGCAGTGAGAGGCCCGCGTACCGCAAAAAAAAAAAAGAATAAATTGAGTGCATTACATTACATCTAACGACTCATGCAAGAATGGCACTCTCGTGTCCCATTTTATTGTGACAGGAAAATGCACGTGACCTTCTCCGTGACACTGGAGAACCATCCATGCTGTGAGATGAGGTTGCATCTGTACAGGGGTCCTAGGTCAGATTGGCTTAAAGGACAATTTTTTTTCCTGGGACTGTACAGAGTTTGCCCCAGCAAGCGTTTGGAGTGCTCCACTTGGAATATCAGCCCAATATCATGTCTGGAGAAGTGGGGAAAGGGAATTGGAGAGGAATAAGAAGGGACAGGGGGAGCAGGTCAGAGCCGGGCACTCTTCCCGGGACAGATGATCAAAGGCCAGACAGGGGCCAAGAGGTTCAGTCCAGTTTTCAACCTGCCACCCAAGGTCTGAACAGAAACTGGATCCCTTAGTGCAGGGCATGTGGACATGCAGCAGGTAGCTAGGCACCTGTTGAGAAATCATGATGAGGATGAGCCAGGTAATTCAACTATTCCATATGAAGCAAGGAAAACAAGAACTGGAGACATCCTCTAGAGAGAAGCAGGTCTCTGGCAACCCCTGGGGTAGTTGGGTGTGGGGCTGGAAGATGACAGAGCAGAACCACATGGATGATTCAAGAGACTCAGGAAGAAGCAGGCCTGGCATGGTACAGTCTCCAACAGCCTCACAAGAGTGCTGGCCTAGCCCTACTTCCTGGACTCTTGTAACAGCAGGAAGCCACATGGCCTGTACACAAGAGATATGGTAAACTGTCCCCCGAGCACTTGGGAATAAATGTTCACCTGGAGATGTAAACACATTACATTAACTGCTCAGAGGTATGCAGTCAGCTCAGAGAGACAAAATGCTTCTGAGGCCAGCAAGACTTGACCCAAGGGAGAACACTAAGAGATCTAAACAACTGTGAACACAATGCAAAAAGTAGAGGCAGTCCTTGACTTTCCTGTGTCTATTACACAAATGACACTTTTATATTTCACAAAGACACTCAAGCCACCATTTCACTCACCGAATGTGCCCTTTCCCCACCTCTGCTGACCAGTGGACACTTGGAACTGCCACAAGGTGGCACTGCCTGCCAGCCAATAGTTCAGTTCATCAATGTAACCCTTGCTCTACCCATTACAGAAAATCATTTATGTGTTTTATAGCCTTTGTCCTTAATACCTTATAAAATGAGCAAAAGTTGGAAGTTGCCATAAAGGAGAGAATATGCTGACAAGAAGGATCAAGTGTCTAGTCCCACTCATAGTTCCATTTCCTCTGTAAAATAATAGATTGTCATTCTTATGTATAATTTTCAATCTCTTGCAGAGTTTCCGTAGGATCAGTCAACATCCCTAGCTACAACCAACTGACAAGATCACATGCGGTTGCCTGCAAGGTCAGACTCTGGACTGGAAGCCCATCAGGCAGCTATTACTTTGTGAGTCTCTTGGCAGATCTCTGGTTTCTCCTATTTGCATGACTCTCATTTTTATTCACTGTATGCTTTTCCATTTGAATTTCTTCCGAAGAATCGAAACCACATGGATGTACAGAGTGCAGCATTTTGAGGTCCTTTGTGCCTCACTCACGGGGGATCAAGCAGGAGAGTGGCTGTCAAGTTAGTGGGGACCCCAGGGTTGACTAGGACAGGTGTGGGCAATGAATCCAAGAGAGGGCTGTTGACTAGGAGCCAAAAGTCAGGATCAGAAAGATTCAAAGCAAGCAGCAAGGGCAAGGAACTGGAGGATCTCAAATGAAAGATGAAGACAAAACTGGGCAATGGAACAGAGACAAGCATGGAGAGGAAGCAAAGGATAATATTCCACTAATGCAGTGGGATTTTGCACCTTACCTGGGTGAGTTGACAGGTGTTTGGCGTATGTATCAATAGGGGTTGAAGCTCTACGATCAAGACAGACTATTAAATTCCTGACTTATCAAGTTCTCATTGGTTGATTGGGGAGCGAGGGACATTGTGCAAAAGCTGGGAACTAATGTAGAGCCTCTATCATGAGGCTAGGTTGAGGTAGGAAATTAATGGATGTCACTGCTCCTTTATTCCTGCAGGCTTGGAAGAGCCAGCTGACTTTTATTCTCCCTAAGTATATAGCCAAGTGCCCTTCTCAGGTTTCCAGCCACGTAAAGGGTACAGCTGCCAGTATTATTGAGGAGCAGGTCAAATTTGAAAGGCTGACTGAGAAACAATGAAAGGAAAACTGTTGTGAGTTATTGGTTTAGTCGGAATAATACACTCCCTCTTCTTGGGATTACAGCACCACCCCCCGTTTCGTTGGGGAAATGCTCTTCCCAGACTCTATGGGGTTTTGTGGGGCTGCCAACCCCAGTCCTCTGCAGAACACCCAGCTGCTTACAAGGGTGGGCATGACCAAGAATGCACCTATCATAGTTCTCAGCCCTTGGCTAAATCACTGGCCCAAGGAATGGGCATGTGATTCAAGACAGACCAGAGTCCTTCCCTGGAATTTGTTGGAGTTCAAGGAAGATCTTTCTTTTTCCTTAGATGGAAAATTATAAGAATGTGACCCTAGAATGGCTGGCAGTCACATCCCCTATGGGATGCAGGGCCAGGATCCCGCTTCAGTCAAGGACTTGGCCCAGCTGCTGGGAGTATTGTTGGCCCACAACTTTTGGCTGTCAGCCTTCAGGGACTGCCTCAGCTACAGAGAGCTTCCTCACCCAAAGTCACCCCTGCCCTGAGCCGCCCACATGCAAACACTGATGGATGCAGCAGCCAGGCCATCTCCATCCAACTTGGGACAACTCTGAAGAGCTATTCTAACTCCACAGTTCCTGATGGGGTCAGCCTAGGCCAGCATTGGGCCTGCAACACAGCTCAGCTTCTCCCTCTGCCCAGTCTTGCAACCAGCTTTTCCCTTCCACAGGTGTTAATCCTGAGGGTACTCCTCAATAAACATCCTGAGGGGCTTCCCTGGTGGCGCAGTGGTTGAGAATCTGCCTGCTAATGCAGGGGACATGGGTTTGAGCCCTGGTCTGGGAAGATCCCTCATGCCACGGAGCAACTAGGCCAGTGAGCCACAACTACTGAGCCTGAGCGTGTGGAGCCTGTGCTCCGCAACAAGAGAGGTCGCAATAGTGAGAGGCTCACACACCGCGATGAAGAGTGGCCCCCGCTTGCCACAACCAGAGAAAGCCCTCGAGGCAGAAACGAAGACCCAACACAGCGAAAAATAAATAAATAAATAAATAAATAAATAAATAAAATTTTAAAAAAGAATCCACCTGCCAATGCAGGGCACATGGGTTTGAGCCCTGGTCCGGGAAGATCCCACATGCCACAGAGCAACTAAGCCCACGTGCACCACAACTACTGAGCCTGCACTCTAGAGCCCACGAGCCACAACTACTGAGCCCATGTGCCACAGCTACTGAAGCCAGCGTGCCTAGAGCCCATGCTCCACAACAAGAAGCCACTGCAGTGAGAAGCCTGCACGCCGCAGCGAAGAGTAGCCCCCGCTCGCCGCAACTAGAGAGAGCCCGTGTGCAGCAACGAAGACCCAACACAGCCAAAAATTTAAATAAATAAATTAAATAAATAAAAACATCCTGAGCGTTAAATTCTATGTTGGGGTCTTCTTTCCAGCCTGCAACACCCACCGCAAAGAGGAACCTGAAAGAATGAAGTCAACACACAAAGAGAATATGAATTAGAGAGGGAGAGACAGAGAACAAGAGAACCGGCTGTGTGCAATCACCCAGGAGCCCGCTCCAATCTTGGCATCCTGTGGTTTGATTGTATGAGCCAATTAATCCACATTTGAGACGTTTTGTTTTAGAGCTGGTTTGAGCTGGCTTTCTGATATGTGTCCTAGTGAATACAGAAACCACCTGAACAAAGTGCATGGAATGTTTGTGTTTTTTTTTAATATTTGTTAAACATAGATGACGTGTGGAGGGTACTTGTGTGATATTGTGTCATTTATTAACCTCTCTGTGCCTTGATTTTTTGCATCTGTAAAACGGATACCACGACTTATTTCATTGTACTGTTGTGAGGATTAACTGAGTTAATTCAGTTAGAGCAGTACTGTACCGGGCACATAACTTATCATAAGTTGGTGCAAGAGGAGCCATTCTCTTCCTTCATTTAAAAATCAATGGGGTACTTCCCCAGTGGTCCAGTGGTTAAGACTCCAGCACTTCCAATGCAGGGGGCCCAGGTTTGAACCCTGGTTGGGGAACTAAGATCCCACATGCCGCAGCACAGCCAAAAAATCAATGTTACCAGGCTTGTGCCAATCTTGAATCCGTGACTCTTATGTAAATTCCTTTTGTTGCTTTGTATGTTGATGGCACCATGGTATAAGACACTAAAGATTATTTAATCTGGCTTGCAAACTCCAATACATATGGGAGCAAGCCAGCAGCCCAAATGAAGGAAGCAGGGAGTGGTGAGGACCGTGGCAAAATGGAAAGCATATACTTTGTTGAAAGTGGGCAGCAGCTCAAGCACAGCTGACGGTTACCATATGCAAATGAAGGCTTGTCACTGCCAAATTTTTAATTTGGGGGGGAAATTTTTTAAAACTGTACTTTTATGTAAATTCTTATATTTTTGCAATATTGGCCATTTAAACAATACAGTGAAGGCCAAAGAAAACATATCTGTCAGCCACTGGCTTGAGGCTTCCGTTGTATAATATTTATTGAGTGGTACATATGTAGTGGATTTTTTTTCTTTTAAAAAATTTTATTATTTTTGGCTGCGTTGGGTCTTCCTTGCTGCACGTGGGCTTTCTCTAGTTGCAGCTAGCAGGGGCTACTCTTCGTTGCAGTGAGTGCGCTTTTCATTGCGGTGGCTTCTCTTGTTGCGGAGCATGGGCTCTAGGCATGTGGGCTTCAGTAATTGTGGCACGTGGGCTCAGTAGTTGTGGCTCGCGGGCTATAGAGTGCAGGCTCAGTAGTTGTGGTGCACGGGCTTAGTTGCTCCGCAGCATGTGGGATCTTCCCACACCAGGGATCAAACCTGCGTCCCCTGCATTGGCAGGCAGATTCTTAACCACTGCGCCACCAGGGAAGTCCTTTAAAATATTTTAATCAAAATAATACCTGAGCATGGGTTTTACAAAATAGTATAGAAGCGCTTAAAATTAAAATCAGCAATCCTCTGTCCCCGTTCTCTCAGGCCCCATTCCAAGAGAAGTTATATTTTCCTAAATAATATCACTGCCTCTTCATTTATAATCCCTTTTAGACATTATATTTTTAATTCATATCATGATACATGAAGAATGAACTCATTTACAATTAATTATATATTTTAGACTCAACCATGGGTATGTTCAGCTTTCCCCTAGTCATCCAATTTCTTTTAACACTATTGAGAGCTGAATCAGTCAGGATTCAGCCAAAAACCATGACAATTGTTTGATCAGAAGGAATTCAATATAAAGGATTGTTTATGTATAAAATTAACTGAAAAAGGCAAAAAGAAAACTCTAACAGAGTTTCTGAAGCACAACACTGTTGACATTTTGGGCCGAATAATTTTTTGCAGAGGGGGCTGTCGGTGAATTGCAGGATGTTTAGCAGCATCCCTGGCCTCTCTTCATTAGATGCCAACAGCACCCCCCCAACATACATCCTCTGAACTGTGACAATCAAGAATCTCCCCAGACATCTGCTGGTGCTGCTGTCTGAGGGAGCACTATGAAGCTGGGGCTGCAGGTGTTTGTTAGAAAAACTGCAAACTGGATTCCACTGCTTCCAGAAAATGACCTGCAGCTGCGGCGGTGAAGCTTTGTGGGAATGAGGCTCTCTGGAACAGGAGGGACCCTGCGAGTCACTTTTTCTCCTCCAGCCTTTCAGCCTCCCTCTAGTGCCCCCTGAAGGCAGAGCCTAGCAGCGAGCCAGCCGGCAAAGCAGAAATGTGGTTTGCAGGGTCCCAGCCCCAGGGTCACAGAAGGTCTATCACCTTCTGATAGAGAAGGTGGTTTGGAGCTGAAAGAGCTGGCACAAGCGCCAAGCTCTGTACTAAATCTCATGTATTATCCTGTGTGATTCTCAAACTTCTTGTGCTTACTAATCACTGGAGATCTGAGATGAAATTGGAAAAGCAAAGAATAAAGAAAAGTCACGGTAAGTGGTTTGAATTTATTCCTAAGGAAAATAGAGAGCCATTGAAGGGTTTAAGCAAAGGAGGTACACATTTATAGACAATATATTGGATAATTCTTCCTGATGGTTAATCTTATCCATTATGAATTGATTCTTCCGGTTTTGCTCTCAGTATAACCTGATTTCCAATCCAGGGGACATTTCCCTTAAACCCCTCCAGGACTATTATCCCAGTCGGAGTTAGGGGCTCCCTCCAGTGGGTGCTCAGAGCTTCCTTATGGGCCTTTTTGCCTTTGTCGTTGTTGTTTCAATGTCTGTTTCTCCCACTAGACTGTTAATGCCTGGACAGGAATTGTGTTTTATTGATTTTTGGCTGCCCGCAGTCTAATGTAATGTGTTCCTTAAAGGCTTAATGGAAGGGTAAACGAGCAGGAAGGCAAGAAGAAATCAACATATAAATGTACTTGTTAACCTACACCTCCTAGACGCACAATAATTTCTCAGGTGACAAATATACATAAAAATTATGGGATGTGGCCAATGTTACACTTAACTTAGCTCCTTGAAAGATGTGTCCACCCACTGACATACTCCAGGACCCACACAGAAGTAATTCTGGGTTACAGAGTAAGACTCTGAATTGCTTTACTTGTTCAATTCCTGAACTCATTCCTCCTCTCCTTTATTTCTGATTCTTCCCACCTGCAGAGTCTCAATCTAGGGCTCCCTAGTCGGTGGAAGAGTTGATTTCTCCAGCCGCCCACCTTGACTTTCTTTCATTTCTTCCTCACAGCTCAGCAATTCTTAACACCCTCAGGACCTGAACCCTAGCACCTCCCTTTCCCCTGTTTCCACCAGAAACAGCCAGTAGGTTGAGGTGTCACAGTGAAAAGAGTGTAGCTCTGAAATTAAACAGACTAGAGTCAATCACACCTTACCACTATGACTTTGGGAAAGTTACTCAATTTTACTAGTTTTCGGTATCCTTTTCTCTAAAGCGGTTAATAATGTCTACCTTATGAGGTTGTTAAGAAAATTAGATTACGTTACATGTAAACTTCCAAGCATCATGTCTGGTGTCTTAGGTAGGTTCCTAGCAACTGACTCTGAGAGGGAGATTTGCGTGCAGAAGTTTTATTAGGGAATGCCCTTAGGGTCAACATCATGGGGAAGGAAGAAATGGGAATGGGCAGAGAAGAAAGGACTGTAAAGCAGTCACAGTAAGACCTAAAGCTAGGAAGGTCCTTCAGACTAGCTCTGCCCTGCCCCTATCCCCCGCTGTAAGCCAAGGCATTGAATGCTGACTTACCCCAGGGAGAGAACCTTCTGTAACCTTGGATGAGCTGAGGGTCCTCAACTGAGGGCAATTCCCAGAGAGCAACTCAGCTGAGAGCTGTCAGCTGGAGACACTTCCCAGCAGTTGCGAGAACGAGGCTCAGATCCGAGGCGGGTATGTTGGCAGTACATCAGAGACACTGACAAATGATGTGGTAGGATACAAAAATATATTTCGTTCTTTGTCCCTGGTTTGGGGCACAGAGCTCCTTTAAGAGCTTTTAAGCCTTGGAATTTCCTGAGTGATAGGAAATTATTATTCCTAACAAGCCCCTTTGATCACGCCTGAGTTTCTGCTAATCTCGTGACTTAGGGCGGGGCCCCTAGATGTCTTAGATGGAACTGGTTTCAGGAAGACCAAGTAGAGCTGGAACTTTGAGCCCCACCCACCAACTCTGGGAAGGAAGAGCAAGGTGAGGGAGATTGAGCTCTGTTAAAAACTCTTGCATGAGATTCAGAGAGCTTCTGGGTTTGGAACAACATTGAAGCTCTGTGTCCTCACACACACCCCGGCCACCTCCCCCCACGCCCATGTGCATCTCTTCCACTTGGCTGTTCCTGAGCTGTATCCTTCATAATAAAGTGGTAAACGTAAACAAAGCATGTTCCTGAGTTCTGCAAGCCATCCAGCAAATTATGGAATCTAGGAAGAAGGTCCTGAGAACCTCTGATTTATAGCCAGTTGGTCAGATGTACAGATGGCTCAGGACTTAACTCCTGGTGTTTGAAGTGGGTGTAGTCTTGTGCGACTGAGCCCTTAACCTGTGAGGTCTGCACTAACTGCATAGTTAGTATCGGTATTGAATTGAATTGTAGGACACCCCATTGAGGTAGGAGAATTCATTGTGTCAAAATCACCCCAGGTGGGTACTTGATATATGTAGTAGTTCTATAAATTGAAAGAAAAATAACAATACTAACACGTAGTGGACATTTGGTAAGTATTTACTGAATGATATAATAAATGTTCACTCTGGGTACAAAAATCTTGACTACACTTGTTAGTTGCCTCTACCCAGTTGGGGTTTTTTTGTTTGTTTTTGTTTTTGCCACACCACGCAGCATGCAGGATCTTAGTTCTGGGACCAGGGATTGAACACCTCGACCCCTGCAGTGGAAGCAAGGAGTCTTAACCACTGGAGTGCCAGGAAAGTCCAATTCTACCCACTTTTGACATACCTTTAACTGTACCTGAGTGGGATTAACTCACGACCTGATGACAATATCAAAATGATGTGAAAGCACTCCAATCTAAAATGGAACCAGGGGCTTCCCTGGTTGCGCAGTGGTTGAGAGTCCACCTGCCGATGCAGGGAACACGGGTTCGTGCCCCGGTCCGGGAAGATACCACATGCTGCGGAGCGGCTGGGCCTGTGGGCCATGGCCGGAGCCTGTGCTCCGCAAATGGGAGAGGACACAACAGTGAGAGGCCCGCATAACGCAAGGAAAAAAAAAAAAAAAAAAAAAAAGATTAATGGGGCCAGAGAAGCTCATTAAGATTAGGAGACAAGCACCTGAGAACTAGAAGTAGATTAGAAATGCACGTTCTTGGGCTTCCCTGGTGGCGCAGTGGTTGAGAGTCCGCCTGCCGATTCAGGGGACACGGGTTCATGCCCCAGTCTGGGAAGATCCCACATGCCACGGAGCGGCTGGGCCCGTGGGCCATGGCCGCTGAGCCTGCGCGTTCGGAGCCTATGCTCCGCAACGGGAGAGGCCGCAACAGTGAGAGGCCCGCGTACCGCAAAATAAATAAATAAATAATAAATAAAATGGAACCAGAAGCCACAAA